GACCACTGAGTGCCTCCACATCCTCGTCAGGTGTGGCTTTAGAGGACAACGATCAGATAGCATGACCAGAAACTCCTTTGATTACAAAAGTCCACCTTAAAATGCAGCTTTATTCAAACGACACAACGTCCACAACTCCACCATTTCCCTTCAAAGAGCACTAAAACCGACGTGTCCGACAACATGATCCCTAAAACGTCCGTCAGCTTCACCGAGTCCTTCAGGAAGAGCGGGACGACCTCCAGAAAGCCGATACAGCCTCATTAACTCTCTTTTGTCTCAGATGTGTTACTCATTACCGACTCTCGAGCCGCCCTTCAGCGTTTCCAGTAAAGTCACGCGAGGTTGTTTCGTGGTTCCCGTGTCAACCGATACCGATTCCACTCCGGCGACAGAATTTTTAATAAAACATCACATGCTCGTATTGTTGTTCGGCATATGTTCTAATGGAGAAATGATGTGCTGCGGATTATCCAGACTAACTTGTTATTTCTCTAAAACCAGCCGCATTTTTCTATCCGGCGAGAACACCAGGCCGGACTGCGGCACACACTGAAACACTTTGATCAGTGGAAGACTGCGCTATTGTCTCCTGCCATCTTTGTAGCCATATAAACTTACAGAGCGTGACACCATGCAGACCTGAGGTTGTGGTTTCCATTTCAAATGCCTCTTGATCATTAGAACCATGTGGAATTTGGGGTTCATTAGAATAATTTTTTAAGTTTGTTTCTCATTGGAATAAATTGTTCATTAGCGTTTCTGTTGAATTCTAATAACCGTCCCGCTGTGTTGTTTTTCTTTCCTCTAACCGCGTTAGACTTTGCTCATTATCCCACCCCTGTGCGGTGTCAGTTTTAACATCCTGAGAGACTTCTGTGGAACATTTTTTTAGCTCTTTTGAACTGACAGATACCTCGACAGGAGTCCGTGCATATAAAACAGATGTTCTCTTAAATAATTAATCCGCATAAAATAAACATGTCATTACTGCCGGAGTGGTCAGCGAATAGAAATAACTGTGTAGCTCTTGTTTTTTTTTACCACCTTCTGACTTGTGTGAACACCAATCGACTCCAAAACTGGACTCGTTATTGATCCAAAAACAGTCGGATCGTGCTGAAATTCTGATTTTCGGAGGAAGTGAAGAATGTTCTGTGGACGCATCTTGGACGAAGATGAGGCAGTTCTTCCCTGATTACAGCCAACAGGTGCATTCAACAAAAGCAGCTGTTTCAGCAGCATGAAAAGCTCAAATAACCGACAACGTGGCATCTTCGAGCCTGATTACAAATAAAGAGCAGATATCCTCCAGGGGAAATTTGATTATTA